TTATATCATGATTCATTTATAAAAAAAAAAAAGTAGTAGTATATACATTGCCTATGCAGCTATTTTGCGATTCATATGGTATTTTAATTAGTTAACCTCGTTAAAATACGTATCGTGTGGTATTGCAATGAGTGAACTGATTAAAGTACCATATGACTCTCATTGTAGCAGAAAAACAATACCATTACAATAAATTATTAATGGGAGGTAGTTTATTAAACATTTTTTAATTATTTAGATTTATGCGTCCCACAGTTGCTATTCTAAAATTCACTTAATGGTGCTAATTTTATATGAATAAACTATTTCGTAGTTTTAAGTGCGCATGCCCATATCCAAAGTCAATTGATATAAACCTATGATGTATACTATTATATTTATATCTATTGACCTTGATATGGGCATGCGCAGCTGAAAATATGTAATAGTTTACTCCTAAAAACATGGGTTCCATACAATCGTTAAACGTTATCGTCGACAAGTTTTGGCGACGCTGACTGATTTGTCGAATTGGAGAGCGTTTCCGATTGCGTCGGGGACGGCTACGCAGTGTAAAGTTTGAAAATTCTATTAAAAACACCGTAGCGACAGTGTAGCAATATCATGTAATTAAAGCTAACGATGAAGAATGTCTATAATTACCCACTCTTACCTTTGCTTTCTTTGCTAACATTTGTTGTGGTATTGAGCGTGGAGGTAAATGAGTCATTATCAGTCGGGGAGATGAACATACTTTTGGTTGTTGAGATGAATGTCAATGAACATCCAACGCTTTTCTATATATTCCTGGTCTGCCTTTTGAACATCGCATCCGTACCTAAGCATAGAAATTATCTCTTGCATCCAGGTTGTACCTGGTTAACAAACATATTTTAATATTATATGTACATATTATATATAATATGAATATTATTTTGATAAAAATAACATTGCTGTGGGAAATAATAGCTAGATCTCGGTAAACATATAAATGTAAAAGCAACAACTAAAATATAAGCGTAATTAAACAGTCAAAAATTGAACCAGGGTATTCGAGGGGAGACACTTCCACACCTCTTCCCCTGTTCCTCTTTCTTTGCCTCTGGTCTACTCAAGGTTCGTCACATACTAATAATTCATTTTCCTGTTGGTTTTTCCTGCCAACAGAAGGAAAAGCCATTGCCGAAAGAAGCAAAATACTTTCTGAGTAACATAACTTTTACAGTGATTTGTATAGAAGTACATCAGCGATTACGCAATAGCTGATTACTAAGCTATAGGTAGCTTTCGCCGCACGACGTTAAACCTTAACTTTAACGTTAGTACCCAATATGCAGCGCGATAGCTCCGCCCTTTTTGTAAACAAATCGAAATACGCATGCGCAAACCCGTAACTAATGTACGTCGAGCACGTAAAATCCTGAAATTAACGTTCTCCGCAACGCAAGATGAAGACATTATAACGTCATCTGTTAACTTTAAGATTAACGTCGTGCGGCGAAAACTGCCTATTGTCGAATACCGTCGCTTAGCGACAACGAACAAAAAGCTTGCTTTGGAGTGCTGACTTCAAATGAATGAAAAAATAACAACGGCATGATTCTTCCAGTTTCTGGTAAAGAATTATAACTTTGTCAAGTAGCTAAAGATACAACAATTTGTGTAAGAATTGCTTTTATTAAATTGATTGTTTAAGTGGAAAAACAGCAAATAAGGAAAAGAAAAGTACTAAACATTTAAGGAAGTTTTCTTATCATTAAGTTTTATTGAAAAAAAATCTATTGAATAATATCATAATGAAAATAACGTTAAACTGTATTTCAGTTTGCTTGAGCTCAATCATGTTTTTTATTATTATTTGATGTGTAGACAATGTTAAAACAAACTTTAAAAAAGAGAAATGAAATAAAAATGGATGAAACTCCTACAAAAGAGAGAGGGGGAGAGAGAAAAAGGAAGAAATTGTTAAATTTTGGTGACGATCCAGATTCAGGTGTGAATTTTATGGTCATTTTGTATCACTAACGTAATATCTCAAAACTTATCAATGGATCGAAGTGAAACTTTTAACAATTGTTTGTCATGGTCCAATGAAGAAATTATTAAATATTGGTGACGATCCGGTGTGGGGTGTGGATATGACGACCATTTAGAAATATTAATAAACGGTTAATTAAACGCAATGGCTGTGAGTATCCATTCACAATCGTCATTTGGGTAATAATCCGAAGTAGGTTGTGGATGTGTTGATCCTTAAAGTGGAACGTCTCAGACCTAAATATTCCCCCTTTTTTTTCAAGGAATAAAGATGCCTAGAATTTTATTTATTTTTTCTTCACGTTTTATTTCGACATTACGGCAATGAAGAAAAGCCCTATGTTTTGTTTTACAAACAGACATGGTATGTATAGTTCTCTTTCTAATTGTATTCTAACTATTGTAAATTCTTATAAATATAGGACTACTGACGATACAATCACTAGTAAACGTTATTATAATTAACCTGATTTAGGTGACGTCATTACAACATCGTCTTCAAAGATCTCTAAATTTGGAAGGTTCTCTATGTGCTTCACTGGCGTTGAAATAGGATGCCGTACACCATCGATCACGTGAGTCCCCATCTCAATTGAGTTAGAATCCATGTCTCTCTACGGCGGCCTAACAAAGTTGCTTTGTAAATCAAATTATATAAGCAAGTGTAATATTATCATTATGATATAAAAAAAATTCATTGAAGCACAATATCAACATATACATTTCAAAACAGTGTCTTAGTTTTAAACAAAGACATCTCTAATTTAAATAGATATATTCTTAGCTTTAATTGAGATAGGCCTATGTCTGTTAAAAGAAAACTCAAATATCTCTATTAGCAATAAACGATAATTCGGCTCACCGTACTACTTATTCACCAAAACAAACCTCTCGTCTGCGTGAAGGTTGAATAATACATGATCTTTTTACGATTGCAGACTACCCACTTCTTTTTAAACCATTACCGTATTTTACGAAGTACCATATTGTCATAGCTTAACAAAGTGACCCAAGCTCACAAAAGGGCTGTAAACTCGCACCGCACTGTATTGAGAAACAAGCCTCCATAGCCAGAATAGGGCGTAGAACGTGAATTTTGTGTGAATTAAGTTTTTGTGTAATAAATAAAGTATAACATTTAATCTTACTATTCCTGAAATTTTAGTTTAAAATTATAAATAAGATGTAAGAAATTTAGCCATTTTCGGATGGGAGCTAGTGAAAAATGAATAGAAACCTGCCAAAAATAAAAGCATTATTCTGAAAACTTGATTTAAGAAAGTTGATAAGATGACAATTATTCCAATGGTCATAACTTTGATTCCAGACACCTGATTGAGTTCATTTAACTGTCATTTTAAAGTAAATGATATGTTCTATGCCATTATAACTCATTTTGGCCTGAGGACGAGTTTACAGCGTTTTTGTGAGCTTGGGTCACCTAAATTCGTGGTTGTCAGCGCAGTGGGCACACAACGTTAATTCAACGTTAAATCAACGTTGAAATGTGAGAAGTTGAAATCATTTTGACAACATACACTCAACATTGAAAATATGTTGTGCTTTTAACTCAAGTTCCGGTTGATTATTTGACGTTAATTCAACGTTGAAATGTTGAAATTTGGTTGATAATTTTAATGTTACAGTTACAACATAAGTTTAACATCTTTTCAAGGTCAAGTTAAAATATAGCTTGCATTTCAATGTAGAATGAACATTGAAAATGTGTTACGTTTTTCAACCAAACTCCTATTGTTTTTTCATCGTTAAATAGACGTTGCAAATAATATGTTGAGATTATAAAGTTACAGTATCAACATAAGTTCAATGTTTTTTTCAGTGTGAAGTTAAAATATAATTATTTATTCAACTTTATTTCAATTGAATTCATTTTTAAGGATTTTAACATAACAATTACAATCTTTATTCAACATTTTTTCCCACGTTAAGTCTAAATATAATTTTTATTTCAATGTAGAATCAACGTTGAAAATGTGTTGTGTTTTTACAATGTATTCACTACTTACTCAACATTATTTCAACAATAAATAAACTTTGAAAACTGGTGTATCGGATACCGATACATATGTTGATATGTTTTTGGTCATAGGCAGTAACCAAAGATCTTATAAACACAAGATAGCTTCTCCACGATTTACGCGTGCAAATTATGTGATAACCATAGAGCTATTTAACAACTAGAGTGCTGACAAGATGGCGGAGCAATGCAGAGTTCTGTATGTGTACCATCCAAGATGGCCGCCGTAGGAAAGCGCCACCTTCAGGCTTAGTATACATATTATTACCATACATAATCCTTCTGACTGAATATTATTTCATTAATGATAATTATTATTGATAATGACAAATTATTAAACTGTCGTAGCCAAAAAGAGGCCAAGTAGAGCATCTTATTCAAAAATTTAAAAGAATTAAAATCGTGTACATTACACCCATACACTGCAACGCTCGAGTTTTAAAACACAGGTAACAAGCTGTACTGTACTTTCTGTGTAAATTGATGGCACCATTGAAAATGATAGTGCTCAGGCGAAATTTGATTGGTTGAATCTATGGCAGCCATCTTGGATGGTACACACACACAGCTCTGCGTATTTCGAACATCGAATACATTGCGCACTAGATCTTATTATATCTCTATGGTAATAACGCATGCGACGCCCTCTTGCAAAATTGAAAACTTTTGAACCTTGACCGCTCTGACCATAGTGTACGCCGCGCGACTTTATGTTACGTGTAACAATTAGAAGCGTCCGATTTACAATTCGCCCTCTCTTTAGAACATTAGGTACACGGAGAGTAATGTTACCCCAACTGCGTGGCGGCGCTATATAGTAATAATAAAGGAGCCGCTCTGGTTCGTTGGTTTCCTGTAGTTTCTCCACTTAGTAAAATATTCAAATTTTACCCTATTCCCAATCAATTTTAATGCAAATACGCGGAATAGTTCTTTGGTAACATCCATTTTGAATTAATCAAAACTTTCGAATGATTGATGTTCTCTTGATATGTCTGATTTTTTTTTATGCAGTGACACCTGAACCGGTAAATATTCTTTATTCAATGTTTAAGTAATATACCAGGAACATATTGATGTACTTTCTGGTTAGCGGGAATATTGTGGTATTATGCCTCGTTTAATTTAGATATACAGGTACTGCATAGCCTTTTGCTCTGTATGGAGTTCTCACGTAGTCGGGTGTACGCATTACTGTACGCATTACTTGTACATGTATGCGTAGCCTAGGCCTAGTTAATTGTTAAATCATTCCATGCGAACATATTAAGAAACTGAGATGATTCTACTATATTTTTCACACTCATAATTGTATTGATAATCACCATGACAATTGCTATATTGAACCATTTGATTATTTTATTTATATGATATTGCATTGTAAGCACTCTAGGCTTAAATTGAAAGTTATTGTGTTTGAAACTGCCTTCATCGATGATTCGCTGAAAGTCGTCGTACACTCCATGCGGGTCCGTTCCGCTTGATTGAGCAGCACAGCAGGATACTGCTAATACTGTTACTATTCTCTATACTAGGATTTACATTTGACTATGGGATTATTTGTAATACAATGACTTACCTATGAAAACGATTATAATAATATACTAAATTAATGATGATTGATAATGATATAATTAGTAGTTACAGTTTATACTGTGGATGCAGCAGTGTTGAGAATGATATGATAAATAACTACATAAGCCTGAAGTTTGATTTATTGATGATTTAATTAATTAGTGTTTATGATTGTATTGCTATTTTCTGAATGTTAATAAGTATGATTGTTGTTATTTGATTGCCAGAATTACGACAAGGCTTGATATGACGGCAAGAAAGATATAATAAATGATACAGCCGAAGCCAGTAAAATCGTTTTAGTGTCCTTATTGATGAGCATATATTAAAGCTGCTACGTTGTGGCAGCTACAACTGGTTTAGATATTAAACAGTAACAACATTAGTTCAACATCTTTTCAATGTAATGTTAAAATATAGTCTGTATTTTAACATATAATCGACGTTAAAACTATGTTACTGTTTTTTTTTTTCTATGTTAAATAAACGTTGAAAATATGTTGAGATTTTAATGTTACAGTAACGTCTTTTCAACTTCCAAGTTTAAATATAGTTTGCATTTTAATGTAGAATCAACGTTGAAAAAGTGTTATCATGACCACAATCCTATTGTTTATTGGAGGTTTTTTAACGTTAAATGAACATTGCAAATAGGCCTATGTTGAGATTTTTAAATTAGTATCAACATAAGTTCAATGTTTTTTCATTCTCAAGTTAAAATATAGTTTTTTACTCAACTTTATTTCAATATTGAATTCATTTTGAAAACTGGTTGGGATGTTAACGTAACATTTAATACAATGTTTATTCAACAGTTTTCCAACGTTACTCTATGTATAATTGTTATTTCAATGTAGAATCAACGTTGAATTGTGTTGTGTTTTTTTTACAATATATCCTTTACTTTAATTCAGCGTTATTTAAACAATAAATAAACATTGAAGGTTTGGATATTAAAATTACAGTAACAACATTTGTTCAACATCTTTTCAATGTAATGTTAAAATATAGTTTGTATTTTAACGTATAATCAACGTTTAAAATGTTACCGTGTGTTTTTAAACCAAAAACCGATTGTTCATTTAACGTTTGAAGTATGTTACAGGCCTACTACTAGGCCTATATATAGATTTTACTCAACTTTATTTTAACATTGAATTCACTTTGATATCTGGTTAAAATTTTAACACAACAATTACATTTTTTATTCAACATTTCATTTAAGTTTATTTGCTTTGATGTAATATATTTGATTCAATTCTTTTCTTATTGTATATTGTATTACTTTTTGTATGGAAAATAAAAGTATGATTTGATTTGATTTGAACCAGGCGGATAATTTACAAAGATCATTATTGACAAGAAAAATAAGATTATCAAAATCGGGGTGAGAAATAATTATATTAGTATATCAGCAAATATGAAAATGAAAATACATTGGACGTGTGAAAAATATCATTAATAATGAAAATGAAAAGTAAAGAACCCAAAAAAGATCCCGTAGAAATCTATATTGGATAGTAGATATTAATGTATTATTATTACAATAATGAACATTTTGGGTCCGATTAGTCAGGTTACTCCTAAACAGATCAAGGGCAACACCACGAACACCATAATGGAATAATTTGGCCAGCAAAATATCGTGATTTATGGTATCGAACGCTTTTGAAATGTCTATGAATATACCAAGAGTATGTTGATTGTTATCTAAATTGCTGACTACAATTGTATGCTTCTATTATAAGAAAGCCATATATGAAGAATACTTAGTGCGAAAACCAAAAATAACGAGAAATAAAATTATAAAGTCTATTATAAATCAAACGTTTAAAGATTTTGGATAACACGGGAAGAACAGAAATTGGACGATAATTACTACAAATGTCAGGAGGGCCAGCCTTGTGAAAGGGGATAACCTTAGCTATTTAAGTTGATCGGGAAAAATGCCGGAACGAATAGAAGTGTTAAAGATATATGCTAGAGGCAATGCAATGGAATTTTTAGCCGATTTAATAATGTCTCGTCTAAGTTCATATCCACAACTTGTGCTAGATTTAAGTGTATTGAAAGTCCAGATAACTTCTTCTGCATTTGTAGGTGATAGAAATAGAGAGTTAACAGTATGTGGAGTGCTGCAGAGGATGTCCTCTAGACTTGTATTCACTTCAGGAATTTTGTTAATTAATTCAGGACCAATCTGGGTGAAAAAATCATTAAATCCTCCTGCAATAATTTTAGGATTAGACTCTTCATATCCATTTATAGTAAAAAAAAAAAAGATTGAGGATTTTTTCTACATATACACTATTAAGAATATTCCAAGTTTCAGTCAAATTAGACCTGTTTTCATTAAGTATCAGTAAAATAGCGTCTTTTAGATGTCCTTATAATAGCCTGGTTCACGTCGAACTTTATCTAGATATACCCCTCTTGAAACATGGTACGATAATCCCTAATGGCGTTCGATGCCAAGTTAGAGCCAGATAAACAGCCAACCAGTTTCAGGCCGTCGACGCCACACGGTGGAAAGGCTTGTTTAATAAAACATCTACTGTATTTTACGAACCTCTAGTACCAAGTGGTATTCGTTCAAAAAAATTGTGAACTACAGTAGAAAAGGTGTGAATTTCCACTACCTAACCTAGCCGACCAGTACGAACCAACGACAGTGCACCAACGTGTTTCTATCGCAATCTAAAAGATTCTCTAAGCCCTAGCTAATTTTACCTTCGATAAAAAACGAATTATTTTAATCGCTAGCTAGCATTCTTCCATTTAACAAAATATTGTTTAATTTTCAATTAAAACGTCTGTATACTTTATGGACCTTTCTGTCCTGTTTTGTAGTTTTTAGATCGCTCAACTGTGTTGTTTTACATGCACTTTGCGAAAATCTAGCTTCGCGGTGTCAAATAAGTTGCTGACTTCCACACACTTTTTTATTTAGTCATCGTAAACATGTGCGCTTATTTTAACGACTAGCGTTGGTGGTAGTTCGTTGAAACTTAATTAATAGCGACTATTATAGCAGAAATAGAAAAGATTGAATTGTCAATAAATAAATACAACAAATCTGATTTTATTATTAGGAAAAATATACATTATCACTTTGAAAAACGTACGCAATCGGACTTTTTAACGTTATTACTTGGTCAATGATGCAAAGGGCAAAGGTCATTGGTAACATCGACTATTCGTAAAACGGACGTTTGCTGGGTTTTTATCCATAACATTACAAATAATTTCTAAAAACCAGATTAATGAGACTACTTCGATACTGTTGTTAGCATTGTTGGAGTACGTTGTTGCCAGCCAGAAGATGATAATGGTGGTAATGTACAATACAACAACGCTGGCTTAGATTCCTACGTTACGTAATCGTGTTCTTGTAATCCGAGCCGACTTTACCGTAAAGCAAGTTAATTTACCGTTATTCTAGTAAAGTTAAGTCACTTAACTTTAGTGACTTAATTCCTTTATCTAGCTATAATTGAGTGGTTCATGTCGAACTTTTAACTAGTTAAGTGGATCTATATCTAGATAAAAGTTCGACGTGATCTGTTTTAATACACTACTTAGATAGGCTTTTCTTTTTCCATCTTGATTTCAGAGGTCAAAAACATTTTTCAATTTTTGTTCAATCATGTAGTGGTGTAGACTAGTCTTTTAGGAACATTATGTGGGAAAACATTGTTGGATACGACGCCCCGTTAGGGAGTTATGATTTTTTAAATATTAACATGATGTCATAAATTCAGCCCAAAGGTTTATATTATTTCAGTTGGTTACGCACCGCTGATTCGTAATGTTTGTCATTACTTCAAGATGTCTACCGATTCGTGGAAAAGGCCAAAACATTCTTTAAAAGTGTTACAAGACCAAAGTCAATGTAACTAGGGTTAAAAATAAGTCTAGTTACATTGACTTTGGTCTTGTAATACATTTTAAGAAAGTTTTTGAAAACGTTTAAAAACAGCAAAATAACGTTATAATAACGTTTCTGAATGTTAAATTAAAACGTTATTAAAACGCTTTAAAAACTCCACATAAATATGTTTTTAAAACGGTATACTGAAACGTTTTACAAATGTAATAAAAGCCCTTTTAAAAACCCTTTTTAAAACGTAAAACGAGACCAAAGTCTATGTAACCAATGCTATCTCTACGTTATGATGACGTTTTTAAAACGTTACATTAAAACGTTATTATAACGCTTTTAAACTCAACACAATTACGTTTCTAAAACGTATTAATTAAACGTTTTTTGAACCAAATTCATACGTTATTATAACGTTATTTTAACGTAAAATTGTTAGCTGGAATACTATGCAGGGAGACACTGTACGTTACGATTATATTGTGCATGACTTTAATCGTAAGGATAGATACGCCTAAATAACGTAGGCCTATCTACTCTTAATTATCAATGTATTATATTTTATAGACTTAATGATGAATTGCGGGATGTTTCAACAATTATGCTAATAGTAACGATGTGAATTGTGTAGTGATAGATCAAGGAAATTCTTGTTCACCATAATTAATTAATTAATGCTATGAACGTTAATCGTACGTATCGTTAATGATTGCTGTGATTTGCATATTTATCATTATGTACCATTTACCTATAATTCAGATATGAAATGAGATTAAGTCGTATAAACATTAAGTCGTAATAAACACACAGTTGAGTTTGAACGGTTTAATATTCAATGTTTTGCCGGTGTAGTTTCACCGAGTTGTTTACTTATTGGCGTTTATAAAATGATGTGTTTTTGTCAATGTACATTCAATTAAGGTAACTTAAATTGCAGCATAAATTGCATATTGATGGTCATACGATACATACGGTAATATTATGCATGTTATTTATATCTTTGCAGTGCTCTTTTCCTTTGCTATTTTCTTTTTTCTTGATTTCTTTTGTTATGCAGTTCGTTAATAAAGTTTGAAAGGAAAGTAATCGTTGTGCTGTGACTCGTACTCTGAGTGTTGGGGACGACTCGAGCCAAATCAGTCCCAGTGCAATCCCCGAAACATAACATTACCAACTAAACATGAACCCATAAAAATCATTAAAAATAAATATAATACTATGGTAATAACTTAGTATCACTAGATTATTCGTAATGTTGAAAACAACAACTGCAAAATTAATATTTCAGTAAAAAAAACCAAGTACTTCTGTGGAATCAAACTAATAGTTATAAAATTTGGTGAAGAAATAAAATCATATTCCATTCTTTGCGACCAGCCTCAAATTCTTCTGTCAAGATCAGTTTCCATTTCCCATCAGACTCCAAAGCTTTCATTTCGCCTTCTAGTTTTCCATCATTGAAGTCGAGGCAGGTTTCTAAAAAGCTTCTCCGCATGGCGTTCAGTATGTAACCTCCTAAAATGAGATATTGACAGTACCTGGTGTTGATTTGTATATTTTTTTTACTAAAATTATATATATATATATATATATATATATATATATATATATATATCCTATATAATAATTATGTATAAATCAGAAAAAGAAAGTAAATAAAGTGTTCGAATAAAGGACATGATGGTAGATCGTGTAGCATAGCTTGAATCTGTTCAATCATGAAGTCCGTGTGGTGTAATGGATATGACGTTCGCATTGCCAGTGAGCGGTCACTGGGCCGAATCCCGTCGGAGTCATTTTATTACACAACATATTTATTTATAGGACAACATTCGTTGAGAGCTATGCTACACGATTTACTGTCATGTCCTTTATTCGAACACTGTATACATTGCTTTTGTGATTTATGTATATATCAGGGGCGTAGTAGAGCCGGGTATCGGCCTTCCATAGAAGAGGAATTAAAATTGCCCGATAATTACCTCGCTTCTTCAAAGGAACATACTTGGGGCCCTGAGTTGACTTGGGACCGAGTTGACTTGGGGCCGAGTTGGAATGGGGCCGAGTTGACATGGGGCCGAGTTGACTTGGGGCCGAGTGACTTGAATTCAAGGTAGGCAGATCGCTGAGAAAATGTTTCAGTTGCAAAGATAGCGATAGTGGTATTAAATAGTGCTAGGAGAATGGAAGGCATCTAATATGAATTGTATTATTGCTTTTTTTGAAATCCGATTGTAAACCCGCGCGTATGAGCCAGGGACGTAGCCAGGATTTTGAAAGGGGGGGGGGGAGCCGTTATGCGAATTACGTATGACCCCGGCGGGGTCAAGGGGGCGAATCCCCCTGTGAAGTAGCGCAATCTGAACGTTCTTAGGACTGTTTGAGAGGATTAAGTGAAAATTGCAACAGACGCATTATAAATAAGCGCAAAAATAATTATATAATAAATCAACAGTGGCAGATCCAGGAATTCGAAAGAGAGGTAAACCAGGGAGGGACTTTCACAGACCGAGGAATCACCCACCTCAGCCCCAACATGGTTGGGGCTGAGGTAATAAAATTTATGATTAAGGCATCTCTAGATGGCCGGAAATTACACTCTCGCATTTCAATTTGAATATATTTTTCTTTCTTTTGTTTTCTTAAAAAATGAAGGGTGGAGGGGGGGGGGCCTTGAATCCACATCTGCTCAAAACATTCTTTATCCAGAATAGTCATAATCACGAAAAATGGACATGAAAAATCAGATCACATCCTAAAAACAAACAGCAATCACTAAGAGATACATCAGGAGCCGACTCGATGGAGTTTAATATCATACCCAGGGAAGGGCACAGATCGACACCCACCTCAGCCCCACCATGGCTGGGGCTGAGGTGAGAAAATTTGAGGAAATTGTACCTCTAGATGGCTAGAAATGACACTTTTAATAAAATTCATCATCATCACATCACCATTAGCCAAAATGAAGCGCCAAAAAAAATTCTCATGATCTTTCATCAGGGATTTTTGACAACCATAGAGATCTTATTAATGTGTGTGTATACCATAGAAAACATAGGCCTACTTCAAAAACGTGATTTCACAACCACCTCAGCCCCACCATGGCTGGGGCTGAACATTTGAGGAAATAGTACCTCTCGAGATGGTCGGAAATGACACTTTTATATAGTAAAATTCATCATCATCACATTACCATTATAGTCAAAATGAAACGCCAACAAATTTGTCATGATCTTTTATCAGGAATCTACTTAATATCCAGGACAACTTAGGCCTAATTATAGCTTACTAAGCTTTAACTATACAGTATATACTATAGTATGATCAACAAATCATAACTTTTTTTTCGCATTTAACACAATTTTCCTCTCTTTTTATTGCTATTAATATTATTATCAATTATTACTATCGTCATCATCATCATTGTTATTATTATTATTACTATTAGTAGTAGTATTATTAAACAAACATGATCTTTTATCAGGGATTTTTGACAACCATAGAGATCTTATTAATGTGTGTGTGATATACCATAGAAAAAAAACATAGGAAAAAAAAGCTTAAAAACATTGTCTTTGAGTATGTACTTTACATAGGGCTACTTCAAAAACGTGATTTCACAACGTTCTCAGCCCCACCAAAATTTGAGGAAATAGTACCTCTCGAGATGGCCGGAAATGACACTTTTATATAGTAAAATTCATCATCATCACATTACCATTATAGTCAAAATGAAACGCCAACAAATTTCTCATGATCTTTAATCAGGGATCTACTTAATATCCAGGACAACAGGCCTAATTATAGCTTACTAAGCTTTAACTATATATACTATATTATGATCAACAAATCACAACTTTTTTCGCATTTAGCACAATTTTCTTCACTTTTTATTGTTACAGTATTAGTATTAATATCAATTATTCCTATTGTCATCATCATCAATGTTATTATTATTATTATTACTATTAGTAGTAGTATTATTAAACAAACATTTAAAGAAACTTGCAAAAGGATAAAAACGAAATTGAACCACAGTATCGCATTTCTATCTTAAAAGACCTGGCTTGAGATTTATGGATTTAAGATTTTTTTAATCACGCTTAGGCCTATGTGTTCTATTATGCCTATGTATAACGTGTACTGATGCATATTTACAAGTTTAGAAGTATTCATTTTGAGTGATCCCAGGAAAGAATTTGTATTGGCTCAAGAATAAGCTTTAAAATTTTAACACTGTGTACAAAGGGGGGGAGCCGCGGCTCCCACTGCTCCCCCCCTGGATACGTCCCAGGTATGAGCTGCTAGCAAGGTCTAGGTCAGCATGTGTTGAGGTATTTAAACACTTGCTATTGTATTATCAATGATATTATGGCAATGACGATCTATCTAGGCCTTAGCCTTATACCTTTTAGGGCATATTATTACCCTCGCCCCACAAAGTGAGAGAAGAAGGTATTGCAATGAGCTCCGTCTGTCTGTCCGTCTGCACGTCGATCTGTCTGTCAGTCTGTTTGTGACCTGTAGGGGCTCACACAGTCTGCGCAGAGACTAGTGACCTGAGGTCATTATGTACTACACGAGTCTCTCTCTCTCTCTCTCACACACACACACACACACATTCACGACCGGCGGGACGAGAGGAATGACAGTACAGTGGACTGAGAGAGGAATTACATTGACAATCATTTTCACTTACTTCTCAACGGTCCGTACCTCTTGTAGAACGCAGATTGGTAAGTATATTTATTACTTAACCAAAGACGTTTACTTAACCAAAGTCATTTGACTAGGCCAGGCTGACTCGAGCGGATTGACCCCAGACCGACTCGAGCGTACCGACCACGTGTCAAATTCTGGCCAGCGGACTGTAGGTAGCCTGGAAGGCATGAAAGCCCGATTTATGGGCTTGCTACTTTAAGCCTATGTTAGGCCTCGTTTGGCTGATGAATTGGAGAAGTAAGATGCAGATTTTATGTTTTTTAACAGATACTAACAGATACACAAATACTAGATAATCTGAGATTACAAACCCTCACCCTGCTGTCGCGCCATATCTTTGTATCCGCTGTTTATTGTGTTTATTATTTATTGTTTATTGTGTTGTATTGTAGTGGTATAATATTACAAGCTATAGATATCAGGTTAATGTAGTCGAGCGGTAAAGGTGCACGTTTTGTGTGTAAATATAATCGAACGTTTGGGGTTCAAATC